GAAAAACACCAGGCAGAAAATGTATCCTTTTAACAGAGAAGCTCTGATTTGCGGATTTGAACTCTTGATATCTGGCAACCGCACACATGAAAGCTCGTGTAGTAGAGGAGTGTACAGCAGTCCGCAATAATATTTTGTCTCCTTTTTTTTTCAACAAAATTAAAAGAAATTTTGGTATAGCTTTTATTTTTTACAATACATTTTAGTCTCGTCTTTTATCGTCAACGATATTGTATGTTGATATAGTCGCAGTTATCGTTTATTGTGCTTATTGTGGTCTGGTCATCGTCTCGTCTTAGTCATGGGAAAAAAGAACATTTTTCGTCACACTTTTGGTCATGTCTCAGTCTGAGAAGGTCAGATGTTGTTGAGGTGTGTGTGTAACGTCTGTGCTCTGTAGGGAGTGTGATCTGGTGAAGGACGGCGTCAGCTCGATGCCCGAGGAGCAGGATCTCGTGAGAGATGAAGCCTGCAAGATGAGCAGCGTTCTGCCTACAATGTGGCTCGGGGCTCAGAACGGCTGGTGAGCGTCAAACCCTTAATAACCCAAATAAACAGGGTTCGCACCATGTAGGGCTGCATGATTAATCGAAATAAAACCGCAGTTACAATATAGGTTAGTGCACAAGGGCTGCTCTTTCACGTCAGCAGTGTTTTTAGTGTCTCGGAGCGGCTCGGTTCACACAAACTCATCTCTGCTTGAGCTTATCAGGAAAAGAGAAGCTTTAAGGGCTTCTTGTGGTTTTGCATGGAAATTTTAAAATGAAAAACAATATATACACTAAATAATAGTATTGTAAATTGACAGTTGTAATGTGAAAGAAAATTATTATTATTATAATATTATTTTTCTGTTTTATTTTAAAGTGAAATATTTTCATAGTCATGTTTCTTTTGTTTTTAGTAATTGTTTACTTTTTATTTAGTAATATTACATTATTATTATATTTTTCTTAAAGTCTTTTTTATTTTACAGTGAAATATTTTAATAGTAATATTTCTTTTGTTTTTTTATCAATTGTTTACTTTTTTATTTAGTAATATTATATTAAGTAATATAAAAATTATTATTGCTATTTTAGTTTTGTATATATTTTTTATATGTTATTATTACTATTTTTATATTTTTTTATAATTATTAATAGACAACATAATAACGACGACAACAACAACAACAATAATATTTATTACTACTACTACTACTACTACTACTATTATTATTATTATTATTTTATAGCCATATTGATATATAATCACAAAATTTGTGCAAAATTGTGTAGCCCGTCAAACAATCACAGCTAACCTGGACTTTTTAAAACACATTTTAAATTAATTATTTGTTTAAATTTAATGCAGTCCTATTTCCTAACAGTCATGGAAAACCTGTAAATGATCAGGAAATTGGTGGAAAAAGTCATGGAAATTAATAACATCTTGGGCTGTGACCATCATAGACCAAAAAAAATTATTTAAAAAATAAATTCAGCTTAATGATCAATAAATATAAATTTTTTGATAACTTTTTATATCCTTTATTATCCTATTTATCCTTTATTAAATCTTAAGAAATGTTATTAAATATGCATGTTCTACTTTTAATTCCATTTAATCGGCTAGACGTGGTTCCTAGGTAAAACTTCCTCTCAAGCTGTAGTGATGTAGGTCAGTTCAACCGGCTCACACATCGGTCTGAAGGATTCATTAGTGTATCGATCGGAAGCAAAATGATTTTTAAAAACCTTATGGTCATGGATTAAGAATGGAGATGTGTAGCGTTCACCATGCACTGACGCCGCTCTCTTGCAGTGTATACGTGCATTCATCGGTCGCGCAGTGGAGGAAGTGCCTTCACTCCATCAAGTTAAAGGATTCTGTTCTGGGGATTGTGTAAGGAAGCTCTCATTTATATAAACTGAAGCTCTTCCTTCAGCGGCAGCTGCTCATGACTCTTTCTCTTCTTCTGTAAAGTCATGTGAAAGGACGTGTTCTGGTAGCTTTGGCTGATGGCACGCTTGCAATCTTCCACAGAGCTGTTGGTAAGACTCTGCTCATGCTTTCAAAAAATTAATGCAGTATCTTAAAGACTACATATATAATGCACACCACACCATGCCAGATAAAAGCTCATTTAATGATGGATATTTGCGTTACAGATGGCCAGTGGGATCTGACCAACTTCCACCTGTTAGATCTGAGCCGTCCGCACCACTCCATCCGCTGCATGACTGTAGTGCATGACAAGGTCTGGTGTGGATACAGGAACAAGATCTTTGTGGTGCAACCCAAAGCCATGAAGATCGAGGTATGGCTTTTCTGTGACATTTTGGTGAGGTGATGTATCTCGAAGATACAATACCATTTAAAAAAAAAATTATTTATCAAGGACGCAAAGTGACAGTAAAGACATTTATAATGTTACAGAAGATTTCTGTTTCAAATAAATGCTGTTCTTTTGAACTTTCTGTTCATCTGTGAATCCTGAAACATAAAATGCATCACAGTTTCCACAAAAATATTGTGCAGCACGACTGTTTTCAACATTGATAATAATCAGAAATGTTTCTAATAATCAGCATATTAGAATGATTTCTGAAGATCATGTGACACTGAAGACTGGAGTAATGATGCTGAAAATACAGCTGCGCATCACAGAAATACATTACAGTTTAACAGATGTTCACATAGAAAACAGCTGTTTTAAATTGTAATAATATTTCACAATTTTTACTGTATTTTTCATAAAATAAATGCAGCCGTGGTGAGCAGAAGAGAGTTCATTCAAAAACATTTTTAAAATCTTGCACACCCAAAAACTTGAAAGCTAATGTATATTTAATAAAAAATTTTAAAAAAAGCTATTTAATAATTATTTTTAGTTTCTCTATATGGACTCAATCTCCATTATTTACTAATACATTTAATATTAAAAGGTAATTTTAAAAAGTTTTTAACAGTAGTGCATGTTTATCATTATTATTGAAACATGTTTTTTATTATGATGCTGTTAAATTTGTCACAGCTTAAATAATTTTTAAATTGAATTTGAATAATTTTACATTTAATTTGAATTTTTTTTTTTTTTTTTATTATGTTATACATTTATTATTTAAATATCATGGGTGGCTTTTATCATATCGCTGCTGCTTCTGTTTTTTTAAATCAGACTCTTGCTCATGACACACAATATTATTATACATTATTTATTTAACACACATACTTATTTACATTTCAAATTTGCACGTATCATACCTGTACATGTCTATATTGTATATTGTGGTTTTGCTGTTTTGTACATTATTCTTTTTATTATCTGTGTCCTGTCACTGTCATACTGTTGCACTGTGGAGCTTCTGTCACTCAAACACATTCCTCGTATGTGTAAACATTAGGGCTGGGAAAATAAATCGATGCATCGCGAATCGAGAAATGATCCCGCATCGATTCTGAGATTTTCCGAATGCATCGCGATTCTTTCCCGAGACGATTCTGAGCTTAGTTTTGAACAGCAGATGCTTTAGAAACAGCCGTACTCTGCTTGTTTCCAAATCCTTACGCACACTTGAACCTAAAATAATCATTCATAAAATTCGAAAAGTTTGAAGCGAATTACAAGGGTGTTCACAATGGGCTGTTTACATTAATCTGGCGTCATAAAAGCATTCTGAGCCGAGGTGAAATTAATGTTACATGACTCGGCCGAACGCATAAGCGCTCTTTAGCACTCTTCTTCATGAGCATTTGAGTGTGCGGATAAAAACTAGAGTAGAGTGCCATCTGCTGTTAAAGTGTTAATTCACCCAAAAATAAAAATTAGCCCACAAATTACTCACCCTCAAGTCATCCTAGGTGTATATGACTTTCTTCTTTCAGACGAATCCAGTCGGAGTTAAATTAAAAATTTTATTTGATATTTCATTTGCTCCTGTAAACAAACGTTGGTTATCACGAGACTCACCGACGCATGCGCAGCGCTAAACTCATACATCATCCGCCCGGAGCTGCTTCTGTGTACAACAGTGAGCGCAAGCTACATTAAAGTGATTATTACATTTTGAATATGGATATTTTTCTTACAAAAACGCATCGATTCGCTACAGGAGGCACCCCCCAGAGCTGTGTGAGACATTTTTTTTTTTATAGATGGTCGCTTTTTATTGAACTTCTTTTGGACAGATGCATGCAACACCCGCTGAGTGGCATTAAACAGCTTGAAAGATCAAAGACCATTTTTAATATAACTCCGACTGGATTCGTCTGAAAGAAGAAAGTCATGTACACCTAGGATGACTTGGGGGTGAGTAATCTGTGGGCTAATTTTCATTTTTGGGTGAACTAACCCTTTAAAATCTAAGCTCAGAATCGATTCCAGAGGAATCGCGATGCATTCTGAAAATCCATGAATTGATTCTGCATCGATTTATCGTCCCAGCCCTAGTAAACATACCTGGCAATAAAGCCCATTCTGATTTGTTTACTGTGCCGTTCCTCGCCTGCAGAAATCCTTCGACGCTCATCCGCGTAAGGAGAGTCAGGTGAGGCAGCTGGCGTGGGATGGAGATGGGATCTGGGTGTCGATTCGTCTGGACTCCACCCTCAGACTGTTCCACGCTCACACACACCAGCACCTTCAGGACATCGACATCGAGCCGTACGTCAGCAAGATGCTGGGTGAGCGCTGAGACTCGTTACTGAAGCACGGGAGAATCTGACTGATGCTGACTGATGCTGTGTGTGTCACAGGCACCGGTAAGCTGGGCTTCTCTTTCGTGCGGATCACCGCTCTGATGGTTTCATGCAGCCGTCTGTGGGTGGGAACCGGGAACGGCGTCATCATCTCCATCCCTCTCTCTGAGAGTGCGTCAGCTGTGTGCTTCTGATCACGTGATCGGTGGGAATATAAGTACACTACCGGTCAAAAGTTTGGGATCAGAATGATTTTTAATGTTTTTTACAGGAGTCTCTTCTGCTCATCAAGGCTGCTTTTATTTGATCAAAAATACAGGAAGAAATGTAAAATTGTGAAATATTATTATGTAAAATAACGTTTTTCTATTTTAATATACATTAAAAT